GTTGAAATTCAAAGATTTTAAAGGCAGATTGACTTAAAATATATATTATCTAATGTGACAATTTTGAACTGTTGGTTCATATCTCAGCCCCTATATTCATATGTCATTAGTAATGCAAAGTAGACAAAATTTGTTTCAACTCGATTATTAGATGAATTCAATGTATACATGGTAATTTTTTTATTTTTAATTATTGAAGCTCGATTATTTGTTTCATGTGGTATTAAAAATTTGTTTGTTTCATATATTCTTGAATTGTTGGTTGCAAAAAAATAAAAAAAAAGCCTAATAGAAAATAAGGGCCCAAAAAAAATCACCATTGATCATTAGGAAATGGGTATCCAAATGTGAAGTATGAATTTGTAAGTATTTTTTTATTGTGTATTATACACATGATTTAATGAATATGAAATTAAATTAGTTTCAAGTTGCAAACTTATATTTTGATATGGTTTTAGGAAACATCTAGATCAAGCAACAAAATATCAAGATGTGATGTTTAGAAAAAAGAACATACATAAAAATTTGAATAGTATACTGATAAAGCAACCGAAGAAATAGCTAAGAAGATGATAAGTTCATATCAAATTTATATCTTGTTTGCTACTATCATTTGTTTGTGTATGTTAATATATCATATTTATTTATGTAAGCATTTTGTGTTTTAGGCTATGAGATGCACATTTGATGAATTTCAAATTGGTGATGGCGTAGATATGTTGACTTTAGCTTTTAGCTTACTGGACAAACTTGGCCAGATTAAGGGTGTTAGGAGTTTTATTAGTCTGACAGATTATTTCAAAACAAAGCCTAAATCTTGTATATCGAAAATTGTTGAATTTATCCATAATAGCTCTGCAAAATTAATGAATTGCTGAATTGGAGGCACAATTGGTAACTTTGGCTACTAACATAATAGGTAAGTCATTTATCGACAATGTAGGAAATGAATTCATGGCTGAAGCTTATGACCAATCTTTTTCTCTGGTAATACACGTTCTTAATTAATTAATTTGATTATTTGTTAATTGTGATTTGATTTTATATAAATATACTTTTTTATGTAACAAGTTTTTAAGTTAGGATAATCCAAAATCCATCTGCCTAATCTAGTATGCATGCACTTCACAATTATACTCAACAAAGTTTACTTGGTGGATCGATAATAAATGTAAAAATCGAGGATGGACTATTTGCTTATCCATCAGTAACGTGGATTGGACAAGATGAGATCATTAGATTTTGTTCGATTATAGAGATATAAGTTACTGAAATATTGGCATACATGAGATTAGCTTATATATTCATTTAAATATATATAATATACATTTATTCATATATAGTGTATACCGAAATTATAATTAATTTGTATTTGTTATATAACCTTTTTTATGAACATATGAAAGAGAGATATATAACTGCTGTCAATAATTTCATTAATGCCAATTATATATCTAGTCGTGTGAACAAAGTAATTGAATATACATCTATTTTGGCTTCTGTAATGAAAAGAGAGTCTCATTACTTTATCATACTTTATAATCTTAGGTATATATTCATTGTTTACTTTTTTAGTTACTTAATATTGGTTTAGACGAATATCATAATTATTACTTTGTTAGTTACTTTCTATTAGTTTAGATGGATATAATCTTAGATATTTAAATACTATTTAGAATCTTAGAATATTTTCTAAAATTAGATACCATAAATCAAATGTAAGAATTAGATTACAAAAAATAAAATTTCAAGAAAAAATCCTAAAACTTTCCAACCTAAACGCCCCTACTAAGAAACTAGGTTAGTCATGGAGGCAAATGTTTGACCTAGTGGTGTCACACATGGGAGCATGTTTGTACATGACTTCACCTACCCATATCATCAAAAGAGAAATCTAAAAAAAAATAAAATTTAAGAAAGAAATTGAGAAAAGGATCGCATTAAAAATATTCTAATAAAATAGACAAAAAAAATTACAAAGTCAGGAGTGAAAAAAATTACAAAATAAAAGTTTTTATTGAATATAATAAATAAAGAAATAAATTACGAAAATAAAAAAAAATTGAAAAAGAATATAATAAATCAAAGTCTCACACAGACAAAAATGTGGGTCTCACAATCATTTAAAAAACAAAGAGTAGAAAATGTGCTCCACAATTTTTAAAAAGTTTTAATAATATGGACCCCACACGTTAAAAAATTTTTAAAATGTAGGTGAAACCCAAAAAAATAAAATAAAAATCAAGACTTTATCGCGTGGAATCTCCATTGTAAATTTGTAGTATTTTATATAAAATATTTGAGAGATTCGTGACTTTAATACAGTTGTTATATTTTAATATATTTAATATATATTAATAAATAATAAAAATGTAATATTTAATATTAATATTTATAATTTATCGAATTTAATTATATTATGAATCAAATTTAAATATAAAAAATAAAATTTAACCAAATTTAAATTAAAATTTAAAATTTAAATTTCAGAATCGAGTTTGTTAATAACAATAAATTCGGTCCCGTCTTTAGGCGGGAAGAAGAAAAAGCTGGCTCTAAATGGTGGACTCGACAAGAGATTGACATGAAAGCCATGTATTAAACTTTAACTTACGCTTATTATCTCCTTGCACCTTTACAGCAAATAGAAAACAAGCAAACAAAACTTAAACTAGTTTTTTTTTTTTTTTTTAATGGATAAAATATCGAGATTTTTACCAATTTTGTGTGTGGATCTTTTTTCATTTTCAATTGATATCTCACATTTCCCTTTTTTTTTTTTTTTGGTCTTCTGATTTTTTATATTACAAATTAATTTGTTATCCGCGCATTGTACAAATTATTTTTATTTATTTAAATATATAAAAATATAAATTAATACTATTTAATCATGTTTAAGATATATATATATATAATACATATAATATAATTAAAATATCAAATCATAATAAAATTAAAATTTTTAATTAAAAATTTAACAAAATTCAAAACATACTATGAATAATATTTGAGGGAAAACATATTCAAAAGAAATTATAAATAATATTATTATGTATACCAACAAAATGTAAAATAAAAACTAAAAATCTTATCACTTTAAATTAAAATTTTTTAATTTCCATCATTTTCAGCTTATGTGATTATTTTTATACACATGCAATGTTTAAAAAACTCATGATCTTCAACATGTTTTTGTTACCAAGTAGAGATATTTATAAAATTATTTTTTTATTTTTTTATTGCATCAAGAGGATAAAATTTTAATACAAATAAAAAAAAAAGAGAGATTTGATTTAAAATTAAACCTTTAATATATTTTCAAGCGCTTTTAACCATTAAATTAAAGGTTTAAGGACATATATAAAGTTATTTAAGAAGCTGTTGATTTTCAACATGCTTTTATTAGTCTAAAAAATGGATTTAGATGGATATTTAAAAATGTTACAAATTTTAAACAATACTCTTATTTATTTAAAAAATGAAAATTTAATAAATAGATATAAATGGATATCTAGATGTTTCAAAATGTATTGCCGAAATAATAACTATTCCATGCATTTATCAAGTTAAACTAATTTAAATATTTTAAAACATATTTGAATAAAATTAAATAAATTGTAATAATTATGTGGGTTCTAAATAGATTTGTAATGAATTAAAAAAAAAAAAGTTGATTTGAAAGAGAACGAACAAAAATGATTATTTGATTGAGTAAAAATTTAAAGCTAATGATAAAAACTAACGACAAGTACCTATAAAAAAGTTATAATGTAGTTAAATATTAATTTTAAAACATTAGATGTGCCTAATTTTATTTGTCATGAGAATAATCCAACATTCAATACTCAAACTTAATTACTAGGAAAATTTTTCTTTAAGCAAAAATCATATAAATAAAAAAAAATTACCAATTAATAGAAAAAATTATATGTAATGGTGACGGCTTGAAAAAATGGGATATAATATAAAAGGAAATCTAGGCCAAAAGAAGGATAAAAAAGTTGCTTTTATAGTTAAAAAAACTACATATCCAAAAAACTTTGACTGAAAGTTTGAATGAAGAATTTTGGTTACTAATAAATGAACCAATGTGATGGGACCATAATTTAATAATATCTTTAAGTGACGGATAAATAGAAGTATAAAAGAGGATTGTAAAATTTTAATTAGAGCATTAAGCAGGAAGTTTGAGAAAAAATTTACATAACTATTTGTGAGAAAATTTATAGATTAAAAAAATAATTGTAAAGTAACATATTTATAATAATAATTAGAATGTATAGATAATTTTTAAATTAAAGTGTATAAATAATTTTAAAATTGGTAAATATATTTCAAATTATAAAAAAAAGTGATATTGTGGTTTTAAGAATATTAAAAATTAAAAGATTATAAAGAAAATTATTAAGATAAAAATATTTTTTTTGAGATTTTAAAGTTAAAAATTTTTATTATGTGATCTATTCTTCACTTTTTTTAATTTTAAAATATTTATCTTTTCATATTCTTTAATTGGTTTTTTATTTAAATTTTAAAAATTTTAAATAATTCAATCATTTTTTAAATATATATTTTTGATAAATAGTTTAAAATTAAAAAATATCTTATATATTATTATATAAAACAATTTTAAAAATTTTTTTACGTATAAAAAAAAATTATTCATGTAAACATCTATATCAATAAATTTTATTTGTTAATTATATATGTTGTAATATAATATATATATATATATATGATATATCAGAAAATACAAAAACATTTTTTTTCAAGTGGTTGCTAAGGGGTACAATGGTCTAACGGGTTTAATAAATGGGGTGTCTTAGGAGATTTCTTAGCTGGTTAGGATTTTTTAACCCTATCAAATATATTTTTTTACCCATTTTGACCTAAATAAATCCTAAAGAAATATAGTTAAGGCGGAACTACTAAACATTATAGCACTCCATAATTAGCACTCAAAAAGATGTTGCCATCGGCGCCCACTTCCTGGCATCCTATCGTATACAAATATTTCTGTCTTTCCAGCAACCAGGAACTAAAAAAGTAGCCACGTGTCAAGAAATTTGGTGAGCAATCAAATTAGGACTCGTGTAGTGTTCCTTTTATTATGTCAACTGAAACTTTTGAAGCTTCTTCTCCACTCCTCTGTTCTTGGAGTTCAGAAAAAAAAAAAAAAAGAATATCGAATTTCTTCTGATTCTTTGAAAGATCACACGGAAATCTTCTTCTTTCTTTAAAATGACAATTCTCTCCTTCTTCACCAGAGCTTCACGGGCTTTCAATGCCTCCCCTGCTTCCTTTAAGCTTCTGCTTCTGTGTACTCTCAGGTTCCTTCTTTTTTCACTGTTTCAGGAAACACCATTTGACTTCTTTTCCTTTTTTGTTCTTTCGGCTTCTGTTTGATTGCTGACATTGAACGGGAATAGTGAAAATCGAAATTTTGGATTTTTCTTATAATATTTTTAGATTGGAGACATTCAAGTCAACACTTGAATTTCGATTTTGTCCAGCTGTCAGTGCTTAGTTTAGATTAGGGGTTTAAATTGTGGGAGCAGAACAGAGTAATCTGATGGTACTATTAAAGTCTAGGTTTTTAATTTACTAAAATTTTAGGTTTTATGCTATGTTTAGCAGCTATACTTTTAACTTTTAGTGGAGCTGAGGTGTCTTTAGCCCCGTATTTTCCATATTTCCCTTTTTCTTTTAATTGTTTACTTGTTAAGTGGAAACGTGATTAAATAGCCTTTACTTTCTCTATATACTTTGCTGAGCATAATGGGAAATTTAAGTGCTAAAGATATGCATTCATTTGATAACTACTGTTTTTTCCTGTCTAGATGAAGTAAAAATCATGTTTTTACATTCTCAAAAGGGTGATTCTGATTTCAAATGTTTGTATCTATAGTTAAATATGAGCTATGAAGGAAGCTGATCTAATTCCTGCAAATTTTTTTTTCTGGGATTAAAAAAAAAAAGAGGAATAGTTCCATACTCCCTTCTAAAGAGGCAAGTTTGTATCTTGGAAATGGTTTGATATCTTTATTTTTCATATCTAGTCATATGTTGCTGCTATTTTAAAGCAAGAAGTATAAACATTATGGCCTTCAGAATAGAAAAACGAAATCCTTAGACATGTTAAAAGTTTTACTTTGCTTTTCCACATGTTCTACTATGTAAATTTTAGATAAAGCACATTGTTTTCCTAAGTGCACTAACTGCTTTTATGTTTTACTAAGTACACTAACTACTTTTTATGGTTTGCATTCTTTCTTCTGACCTAGTGCAGTAGTGGAGGTCTTGTGGCCTACTCAGAATCACAAGCAGATGTTAGCAAAACTAGTGTTCAAATGTATGAAAAAGACTGCAAGAAAAAGAGAGTGGTGGTTCTGGGAACAGGATGGGCTGGTATTAGCTTCCTTAAAGATCTTGATGTTTCAACATATGATGTTCAGGTTGTTTCACCTCGAAATTATTTTGCGTTCACCCCATTATTGCCTAGTGTCACCTGTGGAACCGTTGAAGCACGGAGCATTGTAGAGCCTGTCCGAAACATTATAAAGAAGGTAGATGAAAGAAACTAGAGCTGCACAAAATCTTTTTCCTCTTCTCTTTGATTGTATTTTAGGTGCTAAGTGATATCCATGTCTGTATATGCATGTACATGCATATATAGTTATATTTTCATGGATATTTGGTATATCTTATCCATTTCTATTGTCGAGTTGAAAGATATTATTGGAAAATAAAGCAAACAATATTTGAGATAATTCGAGTGTTTTATTTTCTTTGCTCTTTTTTCTCTTGTTGTTTCCTTTTTGTTTCCTTGGCGCAGGCAGCAGCGTATGGACTAGTTTGGGATTAAAAGTACTGAGTGGGGTATATGAGCCTTTTTATTTTGATTCTTTGAATTGCAATATTTTGACACTTTTTGACTTCCATAAACTATATACGTTGAAGAAGGCATATAGTTTCATTTCATGATGAAGTGTCCTAGTAACTATCATACTACCAATACTTTTCTACATTGTGTATAGCAAATGGCTTGGCGTCAAGGGGTTAGTTTTGGCATATAGTTTACTTAATTGATCAGAGTAATTGTAAGAGAATAGAAAAGTTATTCAAAAGCAATTTATATTGTTGCTGACAGAGAAATGAAGAAATACAGTTTTGGGAAGCAGAATGTATTAAGATTGATGCTGCAAACAAGAAAATTTTATGTCGCTCTACCATCAACAACAACTTGGTGGGAAATGAAAATTTCTCTTTGGAATATGACTACCTGGTTATAGCAGTGGGAGCACAAGTAAATACATTTAACACCCCTGGTGTCCTGGAGAACTGCCACTTTCTGAAGGTAGTCATTTTTAATCATATATATCATCCATATTAGAGTAAAATGGATGTTATTTAACATTCCAGAGCTCTTCCTTTTGTAAAAAAAATTCTTTCTGAGCTCCCTCTTGAAACTTTTGAATGTCATTAGATTTCTATTAGCAGTCATTAATGAGGTAATGAAATTTTTGTTAACTTGTGGAGAACTGTAAAATTACATGCAGGAAGTAGAGGACGCACAGAAGATACGCAGGAGCGTTATTGACTGTTTTGAAAAGGCTGTCCTTCCTGGACTAAGCGAAGAAGAACGAAGGATAAACCTTCATTTTGTAATTGTTGGAGGGGGACCTACTGGTGTGGAGTTTGCAGCAGAGTTGCATGACTATGTTCAGGAGGAGTTGGTCAACTTATATCCTACAGTTAAAGATCTAGTGAAAATAACTGTGATTCAATCAGGGGACCATATTCTGAACATGTAAGGAAATGCAATTTTTCATTTTATTTCCTCATACGGTTTCTGAATTTCAGTTACTGCACTCCACTATTTCTTTCATTTATCTTCTATGTCTCTTATTCTGTTTATCTTACACTTATTCATTCTCTGTAATTGCAATATGAACTATAATATCATAAAAAAGAATGTAGTAATAACTCTGCCATATGCTGTATCCAAACATGTTTGGGTATTGGCATTTTATTCCTTGTGAGGTACTTGCTGTGTTGCTTATAAATCACACTGCAGTTTATTGGCAAAATCTCAAACAAGAACTTAGCAGATTTTACCCTTTATCTCTGTAGGTTTGATGAACGAATAAGTTGTTTTGCTGAGCAGAAATTTGGCAGAGATGGTATTGAAGTTCAAACTGGATGTCGTGTTATTAGTGTTTCCGATAAGGAAATCACTATGAAGCTCAAGTCAAAAGGAGAGATTTGTTCTATTCCACATGGATTGGTTGTTTGGTCTACTGGTATTGAGACTCGCCCTGTGGTGAAGGACCTCATGGGGCAAATTGGGCAGGTGAAAAAATTCTCTATGATTGTAATGATTTTGTTTTTTGAAAGCCAAAATTATCTTTATTGTATAGATTTAGGCACAAAGTACCGTCACAAAATCACCCAAAAATAACTCTCTACACTGCAAAAACTCAAAAACTAGACACCCCATAACAAGATATCCCAAAATAGGCTAAGGAGCAAATTATAGTAGTCCTCCTGAGCATGTTTAGAAAATGCAGCCAAGCAGAAGTTGGAGTATTCCAAATTCATCCAGGATCAGCACTCAACCACAACATTAGAATCACTAGACTAAAATCACCCACAATGCTTAACAACCGCGAGGCCATAATCAGAAATTTATCTTTTGAAGTTAAAGTCATAGTTCGAAAAGATAAGAAAAAAGCCCATAGTCTAATTGAAGAGAGGTGATTTTAATGACTTTGAATGTGAAGTTTTAACTGTTTATGATGATTTTATCTGTAATCCCTAGAACTAATTGCATGTTATTTCCAAATGAACTTACCTCTTATATTCTTGTTTTCAGCTGTTATGTTTGAAATTGGTGGTTATCTTGCAGTTGAGTCACTTATGATAAGATTTCATATTTCAGGCTAACAGACGTGTTCTAGCAACTGATGAATGGTTACGATTAAAAGGATGTGAAGATGTGTATGCCCTTGGTGATTGTGCCACTATAAATCAGCGTAAAATCATGGTATTTGCCTTTGACCATTTGAGTTTATTTTTTGATTTGTGAAGTGATCACTGATCAGATTTAGCTAATTGTTGTTAGGCTTCAGTTGCATCTTCTTGTTCCACTTTACAGAAATGTTTCTTAGTAATATCAATTTTATATTGGTTGAAACTACTAAACTCTTTATGCAAGTAATCTCACTAGGAGTTCAATCATCCTGCATCCCCATTACTCAACTGGTAGAGGTTTAAATAACTAAATATGATCTCATGACAAAGAAATCATAATTTTTATACGAGGAAAATGAGCATGTGCTGATAATCCTGATGCAACACTGATATTTGGTACATGTTTACTTTGGAACAATGATATTGTACTGAAGAACAGAGTAACTTTTCAACTGATGTGAATAAGCCTTTGAATTTTCATAGTCAGATCATATCAAATATTAGATGTTGTTATTAAGCCAAACAGCGGCTGGTTTGTGATCTGTGTTACTTTATAAAGTGAATGATGGACGCAAGGCTACCATTCAAGAGTATGACGTGCAAAATATATGGCAGCCTCACAAAGTACTTTCAGAGATTCTTCTTAGCAAACATAATCAAAGGCAGTTTTATACTTTCTCTTTTTCTCACCTCCTGTTTACCTCTATATATTTTTCCTTTGTGCCGGTGATGGGGGCTTGAAGTTCTTATTATTCCATATTATGTCTGTATGCGTACTTTCCTGTAATATTATAGTTTGTAATTTGCCATTATGTTCCTTCAGGAAGATATCTCTACCATATTTAAGGCTGCAGACAAAGATAACTCTGGTCTCTTATCTATTAAAGAATTTAAAGATGTTATAGATGACATCCTTGAAAGGTATCCTCAAGTGGAACACTATTTGAAGAGCAAACACCTGAGTGATGTAACAGATCTGTTGAAAGATCCCCAGGGGAATGATAGAGATGAAGTGGACATTGAAGGGTTTAAGTTAGCCCTTTCTCATGTTGATTCACAAACAAAGAATCTGCCTGCAACTGCCCAGGTATTTGTCTTTGATATACAAGTTGGACTAGGTTTTCACTTGGGCTTATTGGTCCTACTGTCAGTAGGTAGCGTAGAGACTACACGATTTCATTGTTTTATATTCAGGTTGCGGCACAACAAGGTGCATATCTTTCTAAATGCTTCAACCGCAGGCATCAGTGTGAAGATAATCCTGAAGGCCCACGGCGTTTCAGAGGGTCTGGTCGCCATCAATTCCATCCATTTCGGTATGTGCTCTTAGTTGTATTCTGTACAAGTATTTAGATTAAGTACAGTATACCATTATATGAGTGCATCCGTACATATTCGTATTTCTTGGACAAATGAAAATTTGTTGACTAAGTAAAAGTGAACCATTGGCTGTTATTAAGCTTGTCCTTTGCACACATTAACATTAGTTGGTTACTGGGGCATAATGGCCTTAATCATTGTATTAGTGGGCTAAACTTGTGGTCATATATGATGTATTCTGGTCATTCTATTCTAGCCATCTTGTTTCTTTCTGTCTAATAATGTTTCTCAAGATTGTTATGCATTTATATGCATATGGCAGCTTAATAAGCTGTTCGAGACAGTGTAAGAGGTAGTTAAGTTGCTTCTTTTATATTTAGTTTGAAGGTAATGGAGGTGGAGCTAAGTCTTTAAAACCAGCTGAAAATTTTGGCAAAAGCTATTTATCTCTTAAAGTTCTCTGCCTCCCTGTGAAATGAGTTTGGAAAATTTTCCTTGAAATTGATCTTCATGCAGGCAGCATGGCAGGTTCATCTCTCTGTGGGTTTTTTTGATTTTTGCGGCCAGTGCACAAGAGCTGAGACCTGACTGAATGAAATAATTACCCTTAATAGCTTAATGTTGCATTTAGAGAATAAAATTAACTTTACCAATTTCTTCTCTTTTGCTTTCGAATTTGATTTTTGTTTCTTTATTTTTTTGGCAACTGCAAGATACAAACATCTTGGGCAATTTGCTCCTTTAGGAGGGGAACAAGCAGCTGCTGAGCTGCCTGGAGACTGGGTATCCATCGGTCATAGCACACAGTGGCTCTGGTATTCTGTCTATGCAAGGTGATTCCTGCTCCTCCTAATGTTTTACATTTGCTTTCCTGTTCAGCAAATTATGGTATGTAATTTGTCTATTCTTTTGACATAATTTTCTCACACATTCAGCAAACAAGTGAGCTGGCGTACTAGGGTGTTGGTGGTATCTGATTGGACACGAAGATTCATTTTCGGAAGAGATTCAAGCCGCATTTGAGGCAGCAACATGAGAACCTTGTAAAGAAGTTGGGGACTGACCAATATGGTGATTATGTGGCAACATGAGATCCATAGTTATAGTGTTTGCATTGGCATCTGTTGTATATGAATATTAACATTCGTGTTGATTGTGTGGCTGTTAATCTCTTCACTATACTATCTCCCTGTCTTATGTGCTTATCATCATTAATCAACAGAACAGAAATAATATATGCTGCTATGCCATGTTAGAAGGAATTATGGAGAGTATGTTTGAGAATCCATGGATCCTGCATGGGGCAAACCAGCAAAGTCCACAAATCCTGCTTGCCATGAGAAGCAATGTGCAGGAGCGTGCCGATTTTGATAAATTTTACGTAGTATACTTGTTGAACTACGGGCATTTTTCTCTTCGCAAATACAAACGGATTATAAATTTTGAATGGGAGGAAACTATAAACAATTTTATGTATATATATTTGATGAGTTAGCAATATTTTGAGAAATAACAAAATTTTAATTCTGTAATAAAACACCAGAATTAGGTTTTCCATGAGATTTAGCGAGTCATAAACTGGAGCAAGGAAATAAGATGTCGAACATCTTCAAAAGTTATGAAACCGATATGTCAATCCTGGATTATTTTGACCTGTACGAGGATAGGCTGCTATGAGCCTTGCTGTACTGTATGGGACGCAAACTTCTTTTTCACCTTTTGTTTTTATTGATTTGTTGAACAAATAAGTTTTGTAAATTTTGGGAACAAACTTAGCAGATTCGTACCTCTACATATTAGAAGAGAACCGAAATGTCCAAGGTTCAAGCACATGATACTAGGGACGAAATCAGTGGCTCGACAGAGTGATAAAAATTAGAAGAGAACTATTTATCTCCGCACTGATAATGCCATCTCATGGTGGCAATGGCTCCTGAGCATAACAACGATTCTTGTGCATTTTCCTTAATTTCATAACAATGATTCTTGTACATATTATCAGACAGAAGTATAGCCGTAAAACAAAATCATTCTTCTATCCTTTCCATCCAATGTTCTTTGCAGAACTTTTCAGTCGCTTTTCAAACATTAGACCATTTTTTACCATGGAAATTGTAAAGGAAGTGACGCTTCACAGAGTATCTTCACCCGTAGTATACTTGTTGAAAAGCTTATCTTGTTATTGCATGGTAGAAAAAGCAAACGCTAAATCAGTTTCAGACACCTACACGTAAAACCATTCTTAACCCATAACAAGACTTATGGTTCACAACCCAAAACCCAAAATTTGTAGCAGAAAAAAGTAAAGAAGAAAATTAAGAAATGAATCAATCTTGCTGATCTCCATCCCCTTCTGCAAAACACAGAGCCTGACAAACAGAGCCCTTTGCTTCCTCCTCCATACTAAAATACGATTTCCTTCCCATCAATTCAGCCACTCTTTTTGCTGGACCCGAATCACGTGGGCTTTCAGCCAAAAATCTGACAGTCCTAATCTTCGGTAGCGCATCGTTGATCTTATCAACTGACTCTGGACATTCTTCCTCCATTGCACCCTTGAAAACTATCACTTCACTAGGAATTTCCCACTTCTTCTTCACTCTGCTCTCAGTCGTCTGATTCTTGCAGGAATCCACTTTCCGTTCATTCGAAACACGCCTATTATAATGCCTGTTGCTCTCCGGCTTATCATTTTCTGGTAATGACCGCATTCGAGCATCGTTCATGGTGAAATTCCCATTGCTTTGATTGGCAATCTGATTGTACCGGCTTGCTACGACCCTCCCAGGTTTCAATGGTTTCTTTGCTGTTACTGATTTTTCACCATCATTGAAGAGCCTTTTTGGCTGAATTGTAGCAAGAACCCCGTCCTCTTTCTTCACTGCCCTTTTAGACCCTACCGTGGTTGCTGCTGCCTTAGGAGCTTGAACCTTTGAAACAGTTTTACGTGATTTAGGGCTAAGACTCAAGCTCTTGCCTCTCTCTCTTGTAACCTTCACTTCACCAATATCTTGAAGCTTAAAGAAACAGGATTTGCGGCGACTCTGCATTGACTGAATTGGAGTGGTGATTTCCTGCTTGGTTAATTGTCTCGATTTCATTGCAGAGAAAATCTCCGCTGGACCTAAACTAACCCCCCTTCGATTCAATTTTGCTTTAGCACTTGAAAACAGAGGATCTTCTATGTTTTTTCCCGTCTCACAGTTGTTGATTCTCTGTTTTTTCTCCATGAATTTAGCAGGCACTATTCTTCCTGTCATCGCAATGCTCCTCGCATTGTATTCAGCTTTTTCGAGTCGAAGAGATTCAAGTTTCGATGATAGACGAGTTATCTCCTTCTCAATCCCTTCAATCTCCACATCAATCTTTTTCTCATCACGTTTTTTCTCTTCTTCTTTCCCAACTAAATTCCTCAGTTTCATTGACAATGGCTCAATAAAGCTTCCTTTCACCATTTGATCTTTGGAGTTTCCCGTGACATTCTTGGAATAAAGTGGCTTGACAATTGACGCAGTAGATTTGAAAGAAACAGGGGATTTCAGCCAAAGGGGAGACTGATTTTCTTTACTGCCATCAGATTCTAGTGACTGATTCACCGACCCAGATTCAAGATTACGCCAAGAAGCCTTGATGGCGCTTGTATCTTCAGAGTCTCTATTGTCAAAAGCCGCATTGTTCCAAACCTGCAGCTCCGGCACAATAAACGAATCTGGGTATTGAGTAATACTCATCTTTGAAAACTTTGCGTCAAGAATTCCTCAAAAAAAAATCAACAAATTTGAGTGTTAAAAGAAATACGCAGAATTGAATGTATTTTTGCCAATATCTTTGGATGATTTTGATCACAGAGAGGGAGAGAGAGAGAGAATGTATTGAAGGGGATTTCGTTTTCCTGGGATAGATATATTATGACCGTTGGGCAAAAGTAGACGTTAGAGGGGTTGTTGGTGAAATCCAAGCCGTTAGATCATAAACGGCTCCTGCAGACGCTCCGATTTGATTTAAAGGTTTAAATGGTAAAAAAAAAAAAAAGGAAATTGAGATTGTAGTTAAGGGTGTACTATTTGCGCTCCGTTTTTCTCTTTTTACTTTTTTTAATTATTTTTTTAGTGAAATTATATAATCGCTTTTTTTTTTTTCATTCTTATTTTAAAATAATTTTTGTTAAGTTATATAAATAGACATATTCAGTAAATTATATAATTTATTGAATTTTCATATTAAAAAATTTAAAATAATTATATTTACGATATATAATTTATCAAATTTTATATATGATAAATTTATAAAAAGAATTACGTTTAAAGGTTTCAATAAAATTCATTAAATCAATATTGATCTATTAACTAAAAATTATTTATTTAATTTTTTAAAATTTCAACAAAACTCATAAACATAATTGAAGAAAAAATCTCATATCTTAAAAATTTTCAATTATTTCAAATAATTATAAATTTATTTTTAAATTGATAGACAAAAAATTATAAATTTAACAAAAGAAGCACTCGATTATAATATGTAAAATTTTCTTATTTCAATAATCTGACACCTACAAGTTTTCAAATTTTCAAACTCTAAGACTTAAAAATCACAAGGTTTAGTTTGAGAAAAAAATAGTTTCACTTAAAAATAAATTAAAAATATAATGTGAAAAAAATGAGAGTGCGAAGGACTGCAAATAAAAGCTCTACCTAGACCGTATTGACAAATCGTCAAATATGATTTTGTCCTTTGGTCCACAGGGCGCGCTCCAGTCCCGCTTCTTCTGTCTCCTCGCTGGGTCGCCCCTTGACCCATGATAGTTCGGATCCGGGCTTCATTAAAACGACGCGTTTTAAGGAGAGAGTTCGCTTAGACCTTTGAAAGCAATTATCAGTTTGATGTGTTTTTAGTTCAATTGAGCGATCTATCTAAACATCATCTCCATTTGCATTTTGGGAAAAATTTCTCGTTTTCTTTCTTTAATTTGAACCTTTTTTAAGTAAAGATTTCTTGATACGTTTTAGCAATCGGGAAAACCTAATTGTTTCTCAATCGTACTTGCTCTTAATTTTGGAATAATCATTGCCGTCTGTCCGTGGAGGACGTCCGCCAGAAAATCAACGGCAGAGAGAGAGAGAGTGGTGACGGTTAAGGATGGATCAAGGGAGACAAGTGTTCGCAGCAGATCTTCTAGAGAGATATGCGGCGAAAGGCCGCGGCGTGATTACGTGTATGGCAGCTGGAAATGATGTGATTGTGTTGGGAACAAGTAAAGGATGGGTTATCAGACATGATTTTGGGGTTGGAGATTCTTATGGTATCTTCTTTTACCCTTGTTCTTCTTTTGCTTTACTTCTTTTTTCTTTTATTGATTAATTAAATGCTCTTCAGTATTATAATTTACAATTAATAATAGTTCTTGGCTAAATACAGTGCCAAATTTGTAAACCCCACACTAGGATTAACCAGATTCTTAGTCCTGGTTGGTATAGTTGAATTGAACTTGAACACATTAATATAAACCATAAGGCATTTGATTGAGCTTCCTATTTAAGGTATCAAGTTGAGTCATGGCGCGTTAGAGGCTAAGAACTGATTTATTCTCATATATATATGATGGAAGGATTTAGTAATTTTGCTCGTCCATTTGGAATTTTAGACATTGATCTCTCTGCGGGCCGACCTGGGGAGCAATCGATCCATAGAGTTTTTGTTGATCCTGGGGGCAGCCATTGTATTGCCACTATTGTGGGCAGTGGAGGTGCTGATACATTCTACACTCATGCAAAGTGGACCAAGCCACGTATATTAAGCAGACTGAAAGGTCTAGTTGTCAATGCTGTTGCCTGGAATAGGCAACAGATAACTGAAGGTAATTTTATTTCTAGACCTAGCCTTTTTTTTATAAGACCAAGTTTGTGCATATTGATTCAGTTATGCTATTTTGTTCTTAATTGTTTCTAATTGCAGCTGCTACAAGGGAAGTTATTCTCGGTACAGACAATGGCCAATTGTATGAAATTGCTGTGGATGAGAAGGACAAGAGGGAGAAGTATATAAAGCCTTTATTTGAATTAGCAGAACTTCCGGAGGCTATCATGGGCTTGCAAGTACTCTTTTTTGCTCCTTTCTTCTTGGAATGGGCTTTAAATTACCTGTTGTTTCTTCTTTTGGAAAACCCTTTGTACTGATGTAGATGTTCTACTTGACAATTACCTTGTGAAAGCAACTAGACAGTCCTCTTTCTTTAGATAAAAATAAAAGAAGAAGAATGTCTTTTTGGATTTCTGTGCTTGTTTTTCTGTGCAACTGTGCATCTTAAATCTTCTGTTGGTTTGGATGGCAGTATTGTTTTCTGTTAAACAATTTATAATGAACTAGTTGGAATAGGTTGCTACTTAAGCTGTATTCTCATCTGTTAATAATGTCAGAGGAATTGTTGGTATAAACTTATTCTTTCTTCTTAAACTGACTTTGTCGCTTTGTACAGATGGAAACAGCTATATTGAACAGTGGAACTAGATATTATGTGATGGCTGTTACTCCCACAAGACTTTATTCTTTCACTGGAATTGGATCACTGGAGGTAAGCTAAGCTCCAATGCCTGTTTCCCCTGTTTTGGTGTTTTGAAAGTGATCAGCAACAAAGGAACATGTTAATATGTTCCCTATGGTAGTTGGCTGTTATGCTGATGCTCCTTCTATTTATAAATGGAGATTGCTTTTGTCCCCTTTATTTCTTTATTAATTGGTTGAGCCAGATTCTCTTCATCTCAAGAAATACCATTTTTTATTACCCCAATAGCATGCTGTCAGAGAGCTAGTATTATCTGCAATTATGTTTCTTCCGAAGAAGTTACTTAGATTTGGCTTTTTTTTTTTATTTGGCAATCTAGGTGCAACAATTTTGTCATCTAAGTGCCTCCTGTGTGCATAGTTTTTCTTGTTTTCCTGAATTTGTTCTCACTTTGAGGTTATCTTCCAATGATTTGCATAGCCTTCTGTCTAGCTTAGTGCATCATATCTTAGAAATCTACTTTTTATTTATTTAATTAATTTTTGCTTTGCTAGACTGTTTTTGCCAGCTACTTGGATCGTGCTGTGCATTTCATGGAACTTCCTGGTGAAATACCAAACAGGCAAGTGTTTTTTTTATGATGATATTATTTTATTAATTGAGCTACTCATAAGGAAGAACCGAATCCTGTGTTTGCAGAACTTATTTAATAGCATGTTAAGTTTATTATTTTTGATTAGCACAAACATTTTTGGTTATTGTTTGAGAATTACTATCCATCCTTTTTAGTAATAATATATATAAAGTTATGTTGCTCTCTGAATATGAGATTTTACTGCTGCCATTGTGTTCTTTCAGTGAATTGCATTTCTTTATCAAGCAAAGAAGAGCTGTTCATTTTGCATGGCTTTCTGGAGCAGGTATCTATCATGGTGGCCTAAATTTTGGATCACAGCATAGGTAAAGATTTAAATCCTTAACTTTTCCTTCTTTTGCCAACCATCTATTTACATTCTTGCATTTGTTAATTTCTATTCTTACCTTCTCCAAATTACATTCATATTTGATACCTCTGTTGCTGTTATGCTTTTGAGTATATTTTAGGATGTATTTCAGTTTATTTTACTTACACATATAATGATATTTTGATTTAGTTCTCCAAATGGTGATGAGAACTTTGTGGAGAATAAGGCTCTCCTGGACTACACAAAGTTGTCTAATGGTGCGGAAGTGGTCAAACCCAGTTCCATGGCAGTGTCCGAATTTCATTTCTTGCTTCTTATTGGGAATAAGGTTAAGGTGTGTTGTGATAAATACTTCTGTTATATTTTTACTGCTGATGGTGCCCATTGGCAGTGTTCTGAATTCAGTTACATCTATTCTGGTAATGGGCCTTCTGATGAGCATGAGACACTTTGAATTCCAAGGGCCCCCTATATATATTTTTTATTTTTATTCTTTTTTATGTTTGAAGGATCTTGGGATCAGATTTGTTAGTGTTTATATAGGATTGTTTAATTTTCTTTTGCCTGTTCTTTTAGCTTTTACAGTCGTGAACTGTGTTCCTTAAATGCTATATAGGTTGTAAACAGAATCAGTGAGCAAATCATTGAGGAACTTCAGTTTGATCAGGCATCGGACTCTAGTTCAAGAGGAATTATTGGACTATGTAGTGATGCAACAGCAGGGTTGTTCTATGCATATGACCAGAACTCTATCTTTCAGGTTTGTATCTTACAATATACTTCATCATCTGTTTTGGTCTGGACAGTACAAGGCTAATTTTCTCTGGCCTTGGGATTGAAAACATCTTATAGGTTTCTGTGAATGATGAAGGACGAGATATGTGGAAGGTCTATCTAGATTTGAAAGAGTATGCTGCAGCTTTAGCTAATTCTCGTGACCCGCTCCAGAGAGACCAAGTATATTTAGTTCAGGTCCTGTCTAGCTTTCATCTTGTCTGTCAAGTAATTGCTGTTTTGGTTATAGAGATCTACTGTAGTTTCATAACACAAAGTTTAAATGAGCTGCCACCCCTATGTTTTAGATTTGTGTGTAGAGAATCTTGTTATAATCTTAATTGTCTATGACTGGAATATTTATTGTTTTATGCAGGCTGAAGCTGCATTCACCTCCAGGGACTTCCTCAGGGCAGCATCTTTTTATGCAAAAGTGAATTCCTTCTATCTTGATTTTGTTTTGTTCATGTATTTTGTTTATTACCTGAAAGCATTAATTCTCTGTTAATCTTGGGGCAGAGTTTTGTGTGTGTATTTCTGTATTGTACATGTAAAGGAAATGAATTTTAACTGATATGGGTGTTTTGCAGATTAACTATATATTATCATTTGAGGAGATAACTTTGAAGTTTATCAGTGTCAGTGAACAGGCAAGTGCTGTATCTTTAATTTGGTCTCTATCTGGTTTCATTTTGCCCTTTTTTCAAGTAGTTTTTTATTTTCGATATTACTCAATGCCTATGTTTTTTTAATCCAACCGTAGATTTTGTGCCAGTAATACTTGTTCTCCTTTTCCGCTTAGTCTTTGTTTGGAAGCTTCTATAAGTTTTTGATCCTTAATTCTGTCCTAGGAAAATCCATGATTTATTCAAGAAAAAAGATTCTAGCAATTGAAAAGATCAGATAGGTCTTATACTATGACCAAACCCTCAATTCAGAGATTGAAATTATTGGATATCCATGTTCAATCGGGATCATCCCATTTCCTCATTCTAACCTTTTTCACTGAGAACCCTATTAAGAGTCTTACCTTTTTTTTTTTTTTTTTTTTTTAAGTTTTTGAGATGATAACTTTACAATTGGCAAAAAAAAAAAAAAAAACTGATAACTTGACACGTTTTTATATTTGTGAAGATGTTATACAAACTTAATCAAGTTGACTTTAACTTTTTTTTTGTACTATATTATGTTTGCTGCAACCTGAGGCAGGAATTTTCTCAGGGGTTAGTGGGAGAAGTATAAATATGCTGAGTTGAGTATTTTTATTCTTTAAAATGATAAAAGTTGTTTTGACTGCTGAATTAACAATTTATCTTGTTATGCTTATGCATGAAATAAAACAAAAATAAAGCATCTGTAGATTCAATTTTTTTTAAATGTTAATATGCAGGTCAACATTACTCGATTTATACACACACACACACACACACACACATACGGAGTATAAGCATTTGGGATGGACATTTGTTGACAAACTAATATGTGCTTTGATTACAGGATGCTTTGAGAACTTTCTTATTACGGAAGCTTGACAACCTTGCAAAGGATGACAAATGCCAAATAACAATGATTTCTACGTGGGCAACAGAACTGTACCTGGACAAGGTTTTAATTTTTCCCTTGCATGACTAGTAGATACATAACCTAGCTGTCTTTTTAGTTTCTTTCTTTGTGTTCTATAATTTCTGGTGACTTTATAAAACTGAAATGTGTGATTAGCAACAGGTTAGAATGGCTAGATGCTAGGTTGTAGCATTATACTTCTAGCATCAGATGGGGTTTTGAATGATTTCTTCTCCATTCCTAAAATGATAATAAATAATGGCTACATGAGATACATGCACATTATAAATGTTATTTCTTTGTTATTTTCAACCCATTTTCTGCTTTGGCTCATATTTTTTTGGTTCCATCTTTAGGTCATTTACTAGCCTCATATTCTTCCTGCTATGTCTAAAGCAAACAAAAATAATATTAGTATTGTTTTTGTCTTGAACTTGATGAGTAATTGGCAAAAACACTTGGAAGAAACTTTCGAAATGCCTCTGCTTTTTCAGAAATTAATACTGTTCATTACGTGCCTTATGGACTATTTTAAGATGACTAAGTTTTCCCTTTGTGCAAGAAAACCACGGAGCAGTAGTTGATATTTTACCATTTTGCATCTCTGATACTGGATTTTGTATCCCAACATTTTAGATAAATCGGCTTCTTTTAGAAGATGACACAGCTTTGGAGAATCGTAATTCAGAATATCAGTCAATCATTAAAGAGTTTCGTGCTTTCCTTAGTGACTGCAAAGATGTGTTAGATGAGGTGACTACAATGAGACTTCTAGAGAGGTAATTATCTTTGATACATAAGCCGTTTGTTATTCTCTTCTAATTGTCAACATTATCATGTAACTGATCGTTCATGGTTTTAAAACATTATGTTTTACATTTGTTCTGACTTAATGGTTATATAGATTGAATTCTAAAGAATGTTACCATAGAAAGATAAAGGACCTGCCACATTAGCTAAAGGTTAAGACTTTGAAGTATTTCTTCACTTTTGGGCCTCCATTCAACATTTGAGGTTTATCTTATGCTAAAATATGCTCTAGTGATAATTGTTTTAGTGTGAATATAAAATAGTATTGACTCTTTTAAAGAACAATCTAAGTGAAGTTAATATCCATATTTGGTCAATAATAACATTAGATTACTTCTTGGCTACTCTAACATAAAAGGCGTTCTAGATATCAGAAAGTCCATAAGGGAAGAGAAATTAGAAGTTTATTTTCTAGTTATGGAAGTGGAATTGCAATGCTGGCATCATGAGAATCAAGGTATTTGCAAGGATTTTATATTCTTGTACATTTTGCCAGATGAGCAACAGAAAATTGACAAATTCTCAGGAGTTGACTGCTTTCCATGGTTTCCTGATGGTTATACCCATAATGTTTGATGATTTTGTTTCGGAACAGGCCCCGTCTGTTGCTTAAATATCACCAGACTACACGTCTGCTTAACTTTCTGCAGTCTCTACGCTTTAGTTTTGAAGTATTACCATGCTTATGTTGACTCTTTATTGGCTTTTTTATCAGTTACCCCTTTTAGTATTGAAGCATTGCCAACAATTTTATTTTGCAAAATTCTGCAGCTATGGGAGGGTTGAAGAATTAGTATATTTCGCTGGTCTGAAGGGACAATATGAAATTGTTGTTCACTACTATATTCAGGTGCTAGCATCCTTTTTATTGGCAATCTAGCATCCTTTTTATTGTCATTGCCACCCATTGCGTCTTTTCCACATGCCACTTGATCTACAATTTTTCTTTCCTGACACTGCCTTTTTTTTGGGGGGGGTGGGGGGGTGGGGAGGAGGTCTTAATGCTTTATTTTTCCGGGCACCGCACATAATGCTTTTTGTGGGTTTGTCTGTGCAAGCTTTAAGTTTATAATAGGGTGTATAATTTTGCCATGGAAAGTTTTCATTTACTCTTCTTCATTCCGATGGATAATAGACTTAATTTCCCTCATTTTTTTGTTTTTTGTTTTCTATCGGTGGCTTATTAAGTAACAGAAGAAAGGAGCTAATGCAGTAGACATATTAGTCATTTATTGATTAAGATTAAAAAGAGAGAGGCTTTATTAACTTTTTACAAGTGATATCTAATTAGATATTTTTACTTTGTTATTCTATTTTTATTTGACACATACAGTTGTTCCACTTTTTCCTCTAGCAAGGAGAAGCAAAGAAGGCATTGGAAGTGCTTCGAAAACCTGCTGTTCCAATAGATCTTCAGGTACAGATCAGGTTCCCAACATTCTTTCCATCACATTCTGCTGTTTGGTTAGCAGTTCCTTGTCCTACTTTCTTTATTTTTCATGTCACAGAATTCCTCTTTTGGTTTTATTCTATATAATCTAGTTGATCTTATCTCTTTGTAATAGCATACAACCCCTCATTTCTAGTTCGTACTTATTGAATGATACTGCAAATTGCAGTACAAGTTTGCCCCAGATCTTGTTACTCTTGATGCATACGAAACTGTGGAGTCATGGATGGCCTCAAACAATCTGAACCCAAGGAAACTTATTCCTGCTATGATGCGTTATTCAAATGAACCTCATGCAAAGTACTGTTCTTCCCATATTTGATTATCTGATCATTCTTTACTTTTATGGATCTTGAATGACTTTTTATAGCAACTTTGTGCGACATGCAGGAATGAAACCCATGAAGTAATTAAATACTTGGAATTCTGTGTTCATCGTTTGCATAATGAGGACCCAGGAATCCACAACTTGTTGCTCTCTTTGTATGCTAAGCAGGTTGAGTTGGATGGTTTAGAAATTAGAAGCTTTATTTCTTTAAGTTTACAGTGGCTTGTACATGGGGCATGTTAGTAAATCAATAATATTCTTGGACCCTCATCTAACAATTTGAGCTTTTTCTAGTGGTTCTTGAAAAATCTAACATACAATGATTTCAAACAATGTCTAATTTATCCCACTTATACATGTAAATGCTTTTCTTTGATCATAGATATTCTGTAGGTTAAAGATATGTGTTTGCCTTGTCTTCTTATTTATTGTTTGATTTTCCTTTATGTTATATTTAGGAAGATGATAGTTCCCTTTTGCGATTCCTGCAATGTAAATTTGGAAAAGGGCGAGAGAATGGTCCTGATTTCTTTTACGATCCTAAGTATGCCCTGCGCCTCTGCCTCAAGGAAAAACGAATGCGTGCCTGTGTTCATATATACGGCATGATGTCAATGCATGAGGAAGCTGTTGCTCTTGCTCTCCAGGTAATGTCTCTGTCAATGCTTCTGTTAATGCTTTGCTTTATGATCATTTTTTCATACTACTGCTATCAGAACTTGTGTTATTGTTGTGAGAATTTTGATTTAGAACCATATAGCATGCTGATAAAATTCATTCTGGAATTAGGCACATTGGCTCCTATTAATAATCAGACATGTTAAGCATCTCTCTCTCTCTCTCTCTCTCTCTCTCTCTCTCTTCACCTCACACTTGCTCATTTCTTTGGACTTTTAGGTATGGATTTATTATTGTTATTTAAAAAAAATGGTGATTACATGGCATTCTGTGGGAACTTTTTGCAGCGTAAAATTCTTTTTGGTGTTATTTAGGTAAATAAGGTAATTGTCTACCTGTGTTTAAGAAAATTGTTCAAGCTGAATGTTAAAAGTCTTTAAATCCTCCATGATGATTAGAAGTTGGGTCATCCTGTTAACAATGGTTTTGCTCAGATATCACATTTACATCCTTAGTTTAAATTCCTCTATTATGGGATTCTAATTAATCCCTTTGTTAGGCATACTTTGCTGACAATTTTGAAGGTTTGGACTATAAAGGACAATCACGAGTGGACTGTTCAATTGGTGCCATTTATGCATGCATTTGTGGGATTCACTCAGACGTATTGCATGGGACAGAATGGATAAGATAGTCATGTTCAGCTATCATTTAAATTGCCCTTCTGAAAATGGATGTTGTCAGCTCCTTAAACTTGTCATTTGTCTGTATGATGTATACTAGTGGTACCTTTCATTACATTAATGTGTATTGTATCTTTGGTTTGTCTAGGTTGATCCAGAGCTTGCAATGGCTGAAGCTGACAAGGTTGAAGATGATGAAGACTTGAGAAAGAAGCTTTGGCTGATGGTTGCCAAGCATGTTATTGAGCAGGAAAAGGGTACTAAGAGGGAGAATATAAGAAAGGCAATAGCATTTCTTAAGGAAACAGATGGCCTATTAAAGATAGAGGACATATTGCCATTCTTTCCTGACTTTGCCCTAATTGATGACTTCAAGGTAGGATTTTAGCATGTTGATTTTGTCCATGCTTATTCCGTTACAGAGATGATATCATTCAGAGTACCTCTCTCTCTCTCTCTCTCTCTTATGTGTGTGTGCACCTGATTTTGGCTACTCTTACATACATTTTAAAATTTGAACCTGGTAAGTTTTCTTGAGTCTCTATGGAAATACTCATAATTTATTTCTTTTATTTTGAGAAATTCTGAATGGATGCTAGTCTGTCGACCAAGTCCTGATATATACTCTGTATCTTTACCTGCCATTAAATTTTGCTATTCTTATGTATGTATGTAGGAGGCAATTTGCTCCTCACTGGAGGATTACAACAAGCAAATTGAGCAACTAAAGCAGGAGATGAATGATGCGACACATGGTGCAGACAACATTAGAAATGATATTAGTGCATTAGCTCAAAGATATGCGGTGATTGACCGTGATGAGGAATGTGGGGTATTGTTCATCCTGATGTCTAGTTGCCATTGATAAGTTGATAGCATTCTTGGATTTGTTTTTTCCAATATTTTAAATATATTATGGTGATGGACCCTATCATGCTCGATTCAGTCTGGTGTGGCATTCTGTGTAGTTCTGCAAAAACTCTAAAAGAGTTCCCCACAAGATGGAGACACCTTGGCTTGCTTTTACCCCTTTTATCTGGCTCCAGCCAGACTTTGAGAGCCTGTGAATATTAATTTTATTGACACTAGCTTGGCTAATATTTTAATCTGCTTTAATGTTGGTAACACTATAGGAAAACTCCTATTCCTCAACTTATGGATTAAATAGATCTTAATTAGTCACGTTATCTGAATTATCAGGTCTGTAGACGTAAAATTTTGGCTGTTGGTGGGGATTATAGAATGGCTCGTGGTTATACAGCTGTAGGACCAATGGCTCCTTTCTATGTCTTTCCATGTGGACATTCCTTTCATGCCCATTGCCTGATTGCTCATGTGACACGTTGCACCAATGAATCTCAAGTAAGGTTTTGTTTTCATTTCATTCTTCAATTCTCATATGTTTATGTTGCACGTGTCCATGCTTTGGATAGTTTCTTTCTTGTTGGCTTTGTTAAAGTTTTGATGACATTTAGGTTAGCAGTCCAACTTAAAGAGCTAAATATGTTTTGCAGGCGGAATATATACTGGATTTGCAGAAGCAAGTAACCTTACTTGGTAGTGAAGCTAGAAGGGAATCAAATGGAGGTATGACAGATGAATCCATAACCAGCATGAACCCTGCAGATAAGGTATCACTTACCCTTTTTTTTTTTGTTCAATTTTGGTGTCACGTCCATGTAATGTAACAGCTTGAATCTATGGCTTATGTTTTTGCTGGAAATTCAACTGCTAGACTGCCTTAGTAGCGGACAAAACTCAGTACTTTGTAAGTGACATTTTTGTTTGATTGTTGGGCAGCTCCGATCCCAGTTAGATGATGCAGTGGCGAGCGAATGCCCATTTTGTGGTGACTTAATGATCCGTGAAATCTCTTTGCCTTTTGTGCTGCCAGAGGAAGCCCAGCAGGTTACTTCATGGGAGATAAAACCGCAAAACCTTGGAAACCAAAGGAGCTTTTCTTTGCCTGTTTGATTAGATTATGGTGTGCATTGTGTGCCAGTGCATCTGCAAGGACCCATCCGCTTGGGCCGGTTACCTAGTTTTTTCTTCTCTCTTATTTTCTTTACCTTCTAGCAACAGTCGAGTCTCAAAGAATGATGCCTCATATAACTTATTTGTGTAATTTCTGGGCTTTTTTTCCCCTTTTTCCTCTTCAAGTATATCAGTATCATTTGTGCTTCCCTCCCCCATCCCCCTCTTGGCCCTTTTTCCCTTTTAAGTTGCTTTCCCTCTGTTCATCTGGGAATTGGGTTCCTATAACACTGTAATCAGCCAATGCTTGTTATTTGTTATCAATGCATCTTCCAATAATTTCCATCTGTGTAACTAGCTCATTTCCCAGCTTTAAGCATGTGAGGTCAGCTGATGAATGATTTTTCTCATGACCAAAAAGGAAAGATATATGTGAGCCATGTGACTTTGTTTGATAAAGGCATGTTTTGTAGTAAAATCTAAAGCTTATTTTCTAGGTCAGTTCCAAGGTTTGTTGCACAGTCGAATGGTTATTGGACGTTTATATTTTCCCCTGGTTAATTCTAAGATTTGGTCACATGGAAGAAAATTTTGGTTTTGATCACATTTACTAGATATTTTCTTTTACCAATAATTCTTTATTATCTGCGTGGAAAGGAAGATAAGCTTCATGCTTAACTGAAAGCGTCCACTTTAATAGCTGTGCAAAACGAAATTCAAGTAAAAAACGAAACTAATCTTTGGTTGGAAAAGAGTTAAGTAAGGAAAAATGGGAAAAGTGTTAATGAGACATGAGGCCACGCTTCTAAGAAGTGAATTCTTGAAAATAATAAAATAATCAATATTTATTTATTTTTTCATTTGTTTTATTTCTTCATTTGTGATTGATTACTTAATTTGTCAAACACTTTGATGCTCCTTTATTTTTTTCTCTTAATAAGCTAGTTAACAAGAGAAAAAAAAAAGAACTTCTACATTTTTGTTTTCTTATTAAGGACTACAAGAGCTTAGGAGAGACGTGAGGTTGAGTTGGATGTTAGGTGGCCTTAAATCAAAGCAGAGAGAGACTGACAGTGAATACTGGGATTTTGCAAGCAGACATGGGAGCATAATCCGTGGGATTTTGGGGGAAGAAGGACATGAATTTGGGGCTATAAAACAGATAAGAAGAGTTATTTACACTTTTAGTACTGAATTTTGAAAAAAAATGTACTAATTAGTACCTAAAAATAAAATATACAATTTATACTTTAAACTTTTAAATAATGTATTATTTTGATTCAAGTTTTAATATTTTTAATTTAACTCACATATATGATATTTAATTAATATAATTTTGTTACATTTATGTTATTTATTAAATAAAAATATTAAATATTTTGTAAAAATCTTTGTATGGGTGTCATGTAATAAAAAATAATTGACCAATCATAAATAATTTTTACAGTTCAAGTAAGAAATATATTTTTAATTTATATTGAATAAAAATGTTTATAATATATAAGATGAATACATAACTTGATAATATTTATCAAACGTCACATATATAGACTAATATGATTAATCAGATTAAAATTTGGATTAATATGATATATAATTTGAAAATGCATAGTGCAAATTGTATATTATAGGTTATGGGGTAAATAATTTGGGTTGGACCTAATATATTCTTAAGCTAATTGGCACAGTTATCGGCATTGTTTTATTACTGTTGTGTATATACTTTTTGGAAGTGTTCATTTGAGCAGTTGGCTTAACATGTTTGTAATGTAGTAATAGGATTCAGCATTTGTTCACTCTCTTTCTCTTTCATTGTTAAGAGACAGTCTTAAACGAGTAGGCTCTCATTCTATATGTTTTTCTATTTCCATACTGTTGGGAACACCTTCTAAAGCTCCTGCTGTGACACACAGACAGAAAGCAAACCTTTTTGAATCATACAACTAACTCTTAAAATCTTAAACACTTAAGTTTCTTTTGTGTAATCACAAAACTAGAGAACCATAATGAACAACATAAAGATAATATCACTCTGTTCTGCCAAAGTCAACAACTTTGTTACTAATAGAAGGCCCAAAGCATTATAACGATTGCATTTCTATGCAGAATCAACACCTTCAACCTGCTGCCGAGCTAGGTATCTTTCCCTTCGTTCTTTCTACAAAGCAAAATCAGAACGGGATTGAATGTTGGCAAATGTAGAAGGAAATATTAACTTCAGTCAAACTGGATGTAAAGGGAGATGGGGAATTAATTCATCAAGTTGAGTGCCTCACCCATTCATCTATGACGAGTCCTTCACCAACTATACGTGGTCCTGTGTCTTCTGGAGGCTTTTTGCTTGCTTCAAGTGCAGCCTCAGCCTCAGCCAATTGACGTTTAAGTTTTTCCAGTGCCTTGAAAGAGAAAAACACGATAGTCTTTCAGCTATTATCATACATTTTTCAAAAATGGAAAAAGCAGACAAGAAAACAAACAGAAATTGAGTTATCCAATATTATGTGTTGATTGCTTACTGGACAAGGGTGTTCTGGGTCAAGAAAAACGACACGTAGAATCTGTTCGACTGCAACTTCATCCTTTTGCTCATCAAACTGTGCAAATTTTCATAGGACATATTTTCAGTGTTTTTGTAGCATGCCAAAACTATTTGAAATAAATTATAGTCAATGCAGAACCATATAACCAAGCTCTTCATGATTAAACATTTAATAGTTGTTCACAATTACTATACCAGACATCAATCTGAATGCAACTAACATAAAGTAATAGATGAGACAACTTGGTTTATGCTTTATGATGCTTTTATTTCATCAAATGGTTTAGCAATTGGACATTTCGAGCCCAAAGTTGGCAATTCTTAGGTTAATATTCCACAGCAATCATACAATTAGTATCTAGATTTCTTCAAGAAGAAATTTAAGCTCAGATCACATGAATTTATATGTTGCAAATTTTGCAGAAGGTCTACTGTCAGCCTTTATTAGCACCAGTTAGGAGAAGATGAGAGAGGGCCATTTGAGATAGTTTGGACGTGTGAAATGTAGGCCTATCTGTGCACTAGTTAGAAGAAATAAGCTTCTGGATTTGAGAGATACCAAAGCTTCTAATGGTAGAAAATGAAAGATGTGGATGCAAGTAATGAGAGATGATACGAGGGTTAAGAAAATAGATGAAAATATTGTTTTTTATAGAATTGACACAAAAAGATTCAAAACTACGACCTAATATGATTCTTTTTTTGGTCTTTCATACAGCCGACCCTAGAGTTATGAGATATAAGGCTTAGTTTTTTGTTGTCATTGTTGTTGTCTACTGTCAGCCTATAGAAATAAACAATTGTTGACAGTAAAGAGTGTGTAATTCTGACCATTAAAGAAAGTTGGAGAAACAAATTGGAACTAACCTAAGCGATGGCTGTAATAGATGCCCTATATTACGAGCTAGAAATATAATGTAATTCAGTGTTAAGAAGCTAATCATGCACCCTAAATCCGAACAGTCCTATACAAGGAATTGCAGCAGATCAATGAACAAATAGCAACATCTTTAGAAAGCTTGTAGGATGAGGTTAATTTCCCACTTTAGATCTCTTGACAACTCTGCGTGAAAATTTAGGGAGTAACAAACTATTTCCTGCAGTTATTGTCAAAGCCTTAGGAAGTAATAGCACTATAGTTTTGTAGCCATCATTCTGGTTACAACATTCATATACTTTCTGGTTCAAGACTAAAGTCAGTAAAGTTCAAGAAACAAAATGGATATGAGTAAAGCAACACATGTTATAAAAGATACACTTGAGCCCTGGCGCTTATTTATTCTTAGACAAATGCTTAACATGTTCCACAGTTCAAGGCTCACTTCATTTGAGAACATGAATGGTAAGTTTTGATCAATCTGTCAAATGATGCACCAAGCCCCATCTTAAGCTCTTAAACATTCCATACACAGTCCATGAAGAACAAATGAAACTGCCTTGAGATGAAATTACTCTTTTCTTTCTACGGAAATGCAAATACTGGAACAATTTGACCAACAAACTCCTTAGACGAAATGGAAATTTTCTTTTGGAATGATTCATTCAACTTATGCACTAAGATGACACTTGTGATGATAAAAATACCATTATTTCATAAAGTTTGTTTGGCAAATCATGCTGACAGCAATGCGTTAAAATCAAGAGTTGAGGTCAGATAACAAGCCTGTAGAATATACCAATTCTGGGACATAATCTGCTTCTCCTTTCACTTTTAAGCTCATGATCTTGAACTTAACCCTGCTCTTTTGTTCTATTAGTTTCTCATTGTTCTCCGGAGGTTCCACAAACTTGAATACTGTTTGTCAGGAAAGGAACTCATTAAAACCTTAATCAATATAGCACTCTGCCAATCTCAAATGTGTAAACAACGAACTAAAACAAGATAAGAAGAAATAAGGATGACTGGTGAGGCACAGAAAATAAGGGGATAAATACATTGGTGCATTACCAGTTGCAATAAGACTTTCACCAGCACCTAGTATACCTCCTGGAGGTCGCATGTAACAACTCTTTGGTGCAGTTGTTTGGAACTGTAGGAACCACAAGGTCACCAGTTAGACGATCCTAGTGAATGTAGTACCACTAGCAACATATTTTTGTTGCATTTTAAGAAATGAAAAAAAATGGGAACATTATGCCGAGAAACTTTTTCACTTAAAATTTGATTTCATATAATATGCGTCCTCACTATGTGGTTATGTTTTTTATCACAAGCTCCATTCAATATTTAATTCATTTTGTCATAAAAAGTTAACCGATACTTAGATCCATAAGTAACTTGTAGCATGTCTTCCACTAAGGGTCAGAAGGCCATGTGTAACACAATTCATACATCAACATCAAACACAGTTGACATCATGACCATGTGTGCCACACCTCAGACATCAACATCAAACACAGGTAATAAAGGAAAACTGGTTAGGACATCTTTCATACCTTGAAAGCTACATGAGACTTGCTAGTATTTTTAATCCCAATGGCACTCCTTACCTGTTTACCTGGTTCATCTACACAATGCACAAATTCAACGCCAAATTAACATGATAATGATGTGATAGCTGAAGACTTAATTGAGACAATCAAAAGAGGAAACAATGGTGTTATCACAATCTGCTACCGATACAGTAGCTACTATCACCACCAAATGGATCAATTTGATCAAATCAGTGTATATATACTACTCTTTGTCAATTGGAACTCAAATCAACCAGCTATTGGAAACGAAAAAGTGACCTTTCTACCAACCGTGAGGAAATAAACTTACTAGCAATTAGCAAATGACTAGCCAAAAGATACTGCTTTCAAAATTGAATTCAATGTAAGAAAGAATCTCAGTTTTAGCAATTGAATAAGATCCTTCCTGAATTAGCAATTAGCATTTGAAATCCTTCTCAAACTCAAATAAATATATCAGATAAACTAAAGAAAGCAATGTCGAAAGGAATCGGTTCCAGAAACTGCAAGTAGAAGCTGCAGATTAAGCAATCAGCAACTAAAATAATTTAAAACGGTCCTAATCAAGTGAACTAGTGTGGAACAATTTGCAGTTCCAGATTTGCAATAAGCAAGGCTTCAACTCCACAAACTGACAAAATCGTGCTATTAAAACCAAACGAAAGGGCTAAAACTCCCATATGAAAAAGATCACATAAAGAAACAATGCAGAACCATAACCCTCCAACCAAAAAGAAAAAAGAAAAGGAACCCAATTAAAGGAAGAAAATAACGACAGATTCTTACAAGGAAAATATAACTTGTTGGAAGGATCAAGCTTGAGTCTTCTACGAGTAGGAAGTAAAGATTTTGCAATGGAAGAAACTGCTTTTGAAGAAGTCACAGTTGATCTTTCACCAAGCTGACCACTCTGGCTTTGCTGATAAACATTGTTGTTGCCCATGGATGATGAAGACGAAGATGAAGAAGAGCCATTGCCATTGCTGCTACTCGTCTGCCAAAATGGCATTCTACAAAGACTCCAAACTTTTCCTTCACCCTCTGATTTCTCCTCATCAACACCCATCCTTTTTCTTTTTCCTTTTTGGCTTTCAAAAAAAATTGGATATGTTTATTGAATTGTACAGATAGAAGCAAACAAAAAGTTGAAACCAGGATGGAATTTTGTTAGAAAATGGGAAAATATTGGATATATGGGGATTAATATTAAACGATGTCCCTATATCAGATATGGGGTGTCTGCTTCGAGTAGTCACCGTTGGTGAAAGCTCCTTAACGTGTCCTAATATATGCTTTGGAAAACATGCGTGTTTTTGGATTGGCTTCTTGTATATTTTTTTTCTTACATGAACTTTCGCTGTTGCTTGTTTCATTGTTACAAAATGGCGGTGCTATTTTCTTTTTAAAGTCTATTCACATTTCATATGGCTAATAAAAATTTTGGATCTTTATTCATCCCCGTGTCAATACTTGGATCTCAAAGTTTGGGATTTTGCTGCATTTGACTTGTGTATTTGAGGTCCGATTTCATATATGACTACAGCACTTTACCATTGTTTCTTTATAGTTTTCTTATGGAGTCAAGTCTTGTTCCCGAAACTTTCTCTCTTTTACATTTCTTGGTTGAATGATCATAAAAAGTTTTGTTTTGTTCGAACATGTTACTATCATATGAATGGAAAAGGCTAACAGAATCAACAAATTTAGTCTGAAAATGACAAATATGAGGTGATGAAGTAAGAATCCCAAGCATAAAACTGAAGCGATCATTTTTTTTCACTGCTCTAAACAAAGAAAACTGTAGATTATGGAAGTGATTTATAGCATCACTTGTCACTACAAAGTCAAATGTTCTTCCTTTTTGCTTCCACTAGGAAAAAAAAAGCCATGTTGACAGAAAAGCATTAGCAAAAAGAGTTAGGTATTCCCCTGCCATACAGGACTTGGACCAAATAAGGAAGACTTAAAACTAATCTGTATTAGAGTACTGAATAAGTGAATCTCCCATAAATTAAATTGGAAGTATTTTAGCCAGACTTCAATGGGGTTTAATATTTTTTGTGTTCTTAAAATTGTATTTTTAATATGTTTAGAATTTTATTTTCGAAATGCTCATACAAAGATGAAATCCTAATTGATTAAAAAAAAAAGTATGTCCCTCTCTTTTATCGATTTATCAATTGAAGTAATATTTGTGGATATTAGTAATGGAAGATAAAGCTATACTTAAATGTTTCAGATTTAAATCTTATTATTCCATTGTACAGCTGCCTGTTTTGATTTGGGGATATTAAATGAGTTTGTTTTTAGCTTTTTAATTTATAGGCAACATCTACTTGAGAAAGGATTAAAGTTTCAATTCAACAAATGCAATATCAACAGGAGGAGCCATCAGCTGTGAGACCATGAAATGCTCTGTTTTTGGTGAATTGAGATGATGAAATGCTATGATGTTTGAACATGCTCATTTTGTGGCATTAAAATAACAGCACAGGTATACCCACTGTCACTGATATTGCCATGTGGTCCTCTTGCACAATAAATAAATAAAATAAATTAAAAAATTCTTTTTTTCCATCTGAATACCGATTTATGTTTGACAGGCAATAATTTAACCCACCGCACATTCGGTTTGGGGCATTGGAAAGGCACTTTCTCTTTCCAAATCTATTGAAACAGTCAATTAAATGGACCCATGCCCTCCAAATATTAGATATATTAGCATTACTGCATTTCTATTAGGTTAATAATAAAAATTTACCAATAATTATATGGGTCGTATACAATAACTCCCCACATTTTGAGAAAAAAAATAAAAAATGAAAATTCCAACATATATATATATATATATATCTTTTTAACCAAAAAGTCAAATTTAAAATATGTAAATTTGAGAACCCTCGTGGTTTTATTCATTTTTTTTTTAAATAAAGGGTGACAGAGATTATTTTATTTTAGAGTCATTTCAAAATTAAAACATACAATAAGTTTTAGCGAAGGCTTGGAATCAATGAAGTATTTCTTGCTCTCCTCATGAGTCAATTATTTAAAGTGAAAATTTCGAAATGGACGGGCAGACCAAGACATAGTATTATTCGATATAATGAGTTGTGCTTGGTATAATTCATTGTTATAATCATAAATTTTGTTAAGCATGATTTATATATTTGTATTGTTCTAGATTAGAGATTTTGAATTCATTGGATTCGCACGATACAACCCATCAAAAGCCAATGTCACCATATGGTACATGGGTTGGCATGGCATGACACACAAACACTAATGTGTCATATTATGCCAACCTATAAATGTTATAAATAAGTTTAGTCTGTTGGTCCTTAGTTATATTTTATGTTACTATTAGAAAATGATAAACATTTTTTTCTCTTTTCATATTTTATGTTAGTAGTGTATAAAAATTAAATTATATTGATTAATTTACTTATAAAATATTTAAACTATTAGTAAATAAAATTATAATTTTTTTTATTTTGATATATCATTTTAAAAAATAAACTATGAAATGTTTATTACTTAAAGATTGATTACGAAAAAATCAAGAATAAAACAAAACACATTATACAAATGAATTATCATACATTAAAAATGAGAAATCAAATAATAATGTGATATTTATGTGTTAGGGGTATTTTATGGTTATATGAATATTATGAATTTTTTCTCCTAAAGGTAACTCATCAACAACGCAAGGGCAACTTTGTTATTTCGATATTAGTAGACGTGTCCAGTTGACTTGAAGTCTCAAGTCTCATGTCAGATTGACCACGTTGACTTTCTACCTGAAGGCACATGGGAAGGCTGACTTGTCACCCTTTAATGGGACTATTGTCTATTAGATCACATTAGACTAGCAATGTTAGCCCTAAACCTGCTATTCAAAGGTTGAGTTACCCAGACTCGACATTCCCACCCTATAGGTATAAATAGTCCCTTCACACCAGGTAAATTCATTCAATTTTCCTTCTTTTTTTTCTTAAGATTTTTCTTCTTCTCTCTTTTTTCAAGTATTAACTTAAGTGTCAAAGTACAAACGCTGAAAAATCTTCTGACCTTTACTTCTAATCGATCTTCGAACTTGCGATTTCAAGTTCTTGCCCTTATTGGATAGCTCGGCACCAACACTATTTTTTAAAAATTTAGAGATGCAATAATAGTATTTAGCAGTTTTTCTCATATTATTTTGGTGAATTTTTTTAATATTTAATGATAAACATAGATATTTTATGGAACCATATGAATTATGTGCCTTATTAATTTCATATATTAGTTTTAAAAGATAGTTAAAAATAAAAAAATCCTCAAAAATGATAAAAATCTATGAAACTATTAATGGACCGTACTTGGCTCGATACGACATAATGAATATTGTTGTGCTAGGCATGGCATGACCTATAAGGGCTATAACTCATGTGTTGTATTAGGCCATACTCTTTGTTTTTATAGGCCATATTAGCATGACACATTAAATAGTACTGGGTTGGAACGACCCATTAAGACATAGGTGCACGGCTTATCATAGCCCATTTGATACCTCTAAATATCAATATTTTTGTCTTTAATCATCATGTATTTGACGGATGAAACTTTAAATTAAAATTTACTGATCATCTCATTTTCATTTGATTTGAAAAGATATAAGGATATGACTTAGGATCCATTTGGATCTTATTGAATCTATGATTAGACCACTTTTTTAGTCTAAACGTATGACACCTGCTATTTAGGTCATCATGGAACAGTGTGATTGATGCCTACTAGTTATACTATACCCATGATTTGGGATTGGACTCTTACGGTCCAGTGAGATTTGATAAGTTCATTGGAGTATTTATTTTAAAAAATACCTAGATTTAAATTTTTTTTTTTTTTTTACTCTTGAGCACATAGTGTAGAGATAAAAATATCCCTGTCACTTGAACATTTTCTTTTTTTATTTAAGTTTTTCAAATAATTATATTAATTTAATGTAATAAATAAATTTATATAATTATCTAATAAATAATTAATATAAATAACTAAAAATTAAATTAATACATGAATAAATAATAAATAATATAATCTAATAAATTATATATGAAATAATTGAATACATAAAAAATTAACAAATGATTGAATAAATAATTCTAATAATTTTTTATTTATAAAAAATATTATTTGATATAAAATAATTTTAATAATTTATTAATTTAAAAAATCAAATATATGTTATAAATTCCATTATATACAAATTTAAATCTAATGTTCTTAATGGTTATTTATTTTCTCACTACATTTACCTCATCGTCATTGCTGTGTTTGCATTCAAATGCATATCCTACCATTGATTTTAATCTTATTGTTATAACACTTAATTTCACTACTACAAAAATTAATCTTATTGTCACCACTATTTTTAATCTTACATGTGCCAATTTCATTGCCATCCAAATGGACCTTAAAACATAATTTACTTGTTTAAGAATGGACCATACCTTACCCTCCTTATGGCACTATGTGTAGAAATTTTATATACTAAAAAGATGTTAGTGCGTTGTCATAGGTTAAATTTTTTTTGTTTTGCCATCTTTATACATTTTTTTAGCAAAATCTATTTAATTAAAAAAGATGAAAGGTAAAAAAAAATAGGAATGACATATAGATACCTTAATTGGCCCTCTGTTTTCATAAAATTTATCTAATAAAAAATTAAAACCAAAAATAAAAAAATGAAAAAAAGAAAAAAAAAAGAAAAACAAAAGAAATGAAAAAAAGCTCATAAGGGGTGCCACTTTTACACCCTTATTGAGTTTAAAATATTAATTTCTTAAATTAAGGTAAAAAATAACTTTATTAATATAATACATTTATTTATAAAATTAAATAAATAAAATATACATACTAATATATATATATATATATATATATTGAAATAATATGAGACAAAGCATCTTAAACACGCTTCCACTTGATCTCGTTTCTCCTAAAAAAACTCAACTCATTTTAACTTAATTTCGATTTAAAAATTATTTCTTATTGAATTAAGATGGATCGAAACCTATCGGATACATAGTGTTTTCGCATTTTTATCAATTGGTATATTTCATTGCAAAAATTTATCTAATTAAAAAAAATACAAAAATGGAAAAGGAAAAAGCCAAATAGGTGCCACATGGACACTTCCATTGGTATTTTCACAAAATTACTTGATAAAAAAAACAAAAAAAAGAAAAATATATAAAAAGGTATTTGGTTTGCGAATTCT